ATGAATTTGAAAAATGCTTCCAAGAATAGAATTGCAGATTTGACAAATGTATTAAGTGTAATGGAGAGTACTTTGAAGGTGATAAGGTTGTTTTGTCAAAACATTAAAATATGTAGCTTTGGGGTGGGAAAATTGCAGTTTTTTTGGGTACCCCCTCATATGAGCACCCCTATACGTCCTGTCCAATGGCTTCCCCCCGAACTACCCCTCCAATTTAGGCACAGCATGAGAGTACACCACTTCAAGGTAGCGACTGTGAGATGCCCTTACGTATCAGATTTCTGATGCAGGGCCCGCGGTCAGAGCAGTTGCTCCAGTCCTGGCTCACAGACTCCTCCTTCTCCTTCCCTACCTTAAATAATATAAAAACCCTTGCTTGCTTGAAGACAGGTGTAGGCCAAACCCTGACTCTGCCAGTTGTGCAGTACCACACCTCCACAAGTTCAAACAGCCCAAATTCACCACCACTGAGTTGATTCTGGCTCCTTGCAACCCTACAGGACAGGATGGAGCTGTCCCCGTGGGTTTCCAAGAGTGATCCTCTACAGGAGGAGAACGCTTCCAAGGAGGGTTTGGTAATTTCAAAATGCTGACCTTGTGATTAGCAGCCCCATGTGTAATGACTACGTCCCCAAGTTAGCTTCCCAGAGTGATTCCTGGCCAGCTCTTCGGGTTCTTAGCACCTAGTAATTGGGAAGGATGGTCACTACGTAGGGTGTTTTTCCAAACAGCTGGTGAGCCAGCCAGGAACCCAAAAAACTCCAGGCTACCACTACAGGCATGGGGGGGCAGGCATTTTAGGAGCGGGGAGCAGAGGTTTATGAGAGCAAATCCCAGAGAGCAAGGGTGGGGTTTCCAAGCACCACCATCCTGTGCTGGGTGGTGGCGTGGGTGGCAGAGCAGCCCCTGAGTGGGACCCGAGAGACTAAGGTGGGGGAGGGTGCACTATGAGAATCTTGCTTGGGGCATGATGTGCCTGACTACCTCGGACAAGTTTCAGAGAATTAAATTCATCTTTCAGGCAAAGGCCAAGTGTGGTGAGCAATATTGCCGGTCTAGGGAGCACATGGAAATCAAAGCCAACTATATCATAGTCAGCCTGTAATTCTTTTGTCCCCTCAACAAGCTGAGCTGCTGGCACAGCTGAGCTTATAGGGATGGGACATCAATGATGCCAAGCTGCAGAAAACCTGACTTGGGGGGGTCAGATCCTTGAGTGTTGTCTATTCAGGTAAGAATGAAATCATTTCCAGCTACTGGGATTGATGAGCTCAAAGCCTATCCCATGCTCCATTTAGCCCAAATCTTCTGCTGCCCCTCCCCACCGTATCAGGTATTAAAGAAAGAATATAGGATTGGGATCAGGAGCAAGAGTAGGTATTCCAGGCTGTTAAAGTACCAGTACTATAAACACAGACCTTAAAGACTATAGCAGCAGGGAGAGTGTGGATTAGACGTGGCCAGTTATCCGACAGAGTTTGGCTCAAAACTGAGACAATAATAACAAACACAATGTATTCCCTTGTTTTTGGTCCCAACTGAGAAAGAGTGCAGAGCCCAGGTGCAGACCTATGGAAAAACAACTGTGCTGTGTACAATAGCTTGCAGCTGGTAGAAGACATTGCCAAACGAGCCCCAGTGAACCACGAGCATACTATTCCATACAGAGTTAAGCAAAAGACTTCACCAGAGAAGTAAGCAACCCACAAAGCACAGAGCTGCCCATGTAAGAAAGCTCCATATTCTAGGGCCCACAACCAGAGGAGGCGTGGTACACAGACACCTCAGCCCTCGACAACCCTCCCTTAGCGGACTCTAGTGGCTATCCAACAACCCACAGATGGTATTCAGATGGACCGTGGGGCATAGCCGAACTGCCAAGAGACAGAGCTCAGGGCTGTCTAGGTGGTCCTGAGGCATGCAACTGAGTGACCGACACTTCACCATCCCTGGTATCTATCAGCTGTGCATCACCTAGGGCACCCCAAGAAACGTCTATAGAAACCGGGGAGCCCACTTCATCAGGGATGAACAATACATCTGGCGACTGCAGAGGTCCTATGAATAAATAATAAGGGTATAAAGGCACATTGTCTGCAGGGGCTTGATCTGGAGTGAGCTGGTTCCTAGCCTGCTCATGCCACTTAAGGAAGCATGTGCGGCCATGCTGCAAGGACGGCACCTACCAAGCACCCTGACAGTATGCGGGCAGGCCAATACTTTTTTATTGACAAGCACCTTACCCTCCAGCTCACAAGAACTAAGAATCAGTCTCTTTTCTCTTCTTTTTAATAAGGACTTACAGTGAAAGTTAGGAAATTATAGTGGCAGTCTGGGAACCTCTAGTTATTTTGGAGGATTCTGGGCTATTATTTGGAATGTGAATTACTCAGACATAACTGGATCCCTCCTGTCTCAGCATACGCGTATGTGTGCGTGCACACCACTTGTCCTAGATCACAACTCCTAGTGTGTGCACAGCGTCTTGGGGGAAAGTCACAGGCAGTGCTGCAAACAGACAAAGATTTAAATTAAGGACGTGTGTTGCTGGAACCCTGGGGCATGCTTAACCTTCAAGCCCGTGTAGAAAGTTCCATCAGAGGAACCTTATCAGAGGCAGTGGAGGGAGGGAGAGGCCAGAATGAGTAAGGCAGGCTGCTGCAGTCTCTCCGGTACTTGACGCTGACTTGGCCCCTTCATCAGGGTCTGCTTAAGCCTCTTGCACAGTACAGTGACACAGGTAGAGAAAGCAGACCAACAGCACACCAGATGAGTAAAAAAAATCTTTCCTCACTCTGGCCACTGGGTACATTACCTCCTTCTATATGTTGTCTTTCCACATCATGACAAAACACAGTTGTCATGGAATATTGTTCCTGGCTAATTTTTGTTCAACCCTGGTGGATGTCATCTGTCGGATCACGGCTCTCAGCTAACAGTGCTGGCCCCTGACACCATACTTCGTTTTCCCCACTGCTTTCCCCTGTGACGCCTGATCTAAGGGGCCTTCAGGTTCTGGTGCCCCCTCCGAGGAACTTCACTCCCTCACTGACGGCCCGAGAGCAAGGCGGACCCAGCCTTCTCTTCTGGAGGCTGACATCCTTTCTTTCATGCGCAAGTGGTCCAAGCAGGCCCTATGTATAGGTCAATACATCACTCTGAAAACCCTCAAATGAAAAGGCATTTGACCCCTGTCTCCCCACACTCACATGTCTGTGATCTGTATGGGCTTTCATTTCAACACCAAGCCAATGCAGAAAAAATTTCCTCTGATGATCAGTTGTTATCACTAAGTTGAACACCATGAAAATGAGAGAAAAATAACAGGCTATGGTATTTTGGATTTTTATCTCATAAAAAGAATTCCACTGTTTAAAACTAACAGTGGCATCACTCTCTTCCTCCCCTTTGCTCCCATTATCACAGGGTATATATTCTCAGCAAGAGTGTAATTTAAGAATTAATGAAGACTCTCAAGCAATCAAAATTAAAGTCTTAAATTAAAACAAACAAAAATACTTTCTGTAGATTAAACAAAAAAACCTCTGTGCAGTAAATAGGACCCATCTCCCAATACAGGCCAAAGTTTGAACATGTCATTGCCCTTAAGCCTTAGTAAAAATAACTTACACAGTTATAGTTGTTCATAAAAATAAGAACCATAAAAACCAAATTAGAAGCATTTGCAAAAAGTGGTCAAGAAGGGAGTGCATGCTCCCCTTACCTGCATCCCACGATGCCAATTCAGTCAACAGCACCCAGGTGTTCACTCCCCATTCCCACAGCTGAAAATGAACACGCTTCCCATGTTTGCACCCAGCGTTCCAAACGACTGGATTCAAATGACACCTCAGGGTCTGGACTTCCTCTCAAGAAATGATCTCTACTCTAGCACTCTGCCTTAGGGTGACACAATACAGCGCCCAACCCAAGCCACTTTGAAGAGTGCTGCTGTCTGTAATTATACTGCGATGAATGATGCCAGAGTGAGGGTCACTTTAACTCTCAATTTTCCTCCAATTAGAATTCCGCATTCCACAAACTCTTGCCAAATCTGGAAAGCTTGAATTTTTCGTTTATGCTGCTCTTTGGTGTGTAGGGCAGGTCCCTCACTTCACTAGAATCTGGAGCTCCCTGCTAGTGAATTGGTGCGAGGGAACAGGCTCACACATACCCAGGTTTTCGCCTCCCCACACGTCCATCATCATGTCGTATTTCCCCAACTCTTCAAAGTAGAATTTATCCATCACGAACAGCCCTCCAGCAATCATGGGGGTTCTAGGAGGCAGAAGAGGGGACAGAAGAGAAGAAAAGAAGTTGACGGTCAAAATTAGTTTGCACGATCTCTCACGCGAGGGTCAAGCCCTTGGTTCCTGAACTGCAGGTTGACTTTCAAAATAACCTCCGAGCTCTGGCTGTTTGTGCGGTGTTCAATGTGCTGGGCCCATTGCTGGGCCCTTGCTTCTCCCAGTGGCCCACCCCACTGTCCCTGAACCAACATTCCTACTGCAGCACCATGCGGAACTAAGGCTCTTCACCAAGGCTCAGTGGATGGGCCTGTGCCACCTGCAGCAGGGCTGCTTGGGTTTGAAATACTGCTCAAGTCGGAAACTTAAACTTAATGGGTCTCAGCGTCCGCATACAGCGACAAAAAGCAATAAGCATAAAGAACTCGGTGATCTAGCTGCCACTCAATCAATGCTAGTTATCACTGTCATTTCATGGATCCATATCTTCAACTGTAAGAGGGGACGCATTCTATTCCCCACTTGCTCCTCACCCGCAGAACGGATTCACGTCATAGAGCTCACTGTGCCCTGGCTTTGTCCCAGCAGTGGCACTGTAAAACATCACCCGGCATGCGCATGAGTGGCTGGCACTGCGGATGCCGAGTAAGGATGAGCAAACGCATTTCATGGCTAGAGTCTTTGCAGAAGTCATCCCCCTTTACCTGTGAGTGACAGTTTTACCCTGACTAGGTCCCCACACATCCTCCCAGGCTAGAGAAAGACGCCCTATCCCCAGTTATTTCTGTCTTTGCTGCGCGCTCAGGTGGTCTTCACCGGCGACTCATGTGCAAACACAAGAGGCCTTTCCTGTGGGCACACAGGAGAGTGAAGCTCTGCAGGGGAGGGCAAGCCAGGTTGGAGTGAATGGGACTTGCCCTTGTGACCCACCCTTCTTTACAGTGTCACAGAAGCCCACCGGAGACCCCACTCTGCTACGAAAATGCTCCGCTTTATACGTGAGAACACACAGAACTGGGTATCTGCTCCTTAAATATATAACTGACTTCATCTGAAAAAAGCCTCCGTGTGTTGTGTGCTGTGTTCTATGGCATAGACAGCGCCCGGCCTGGAGTTAGGCCAAAGGGAGTCGCGGAGGCAGGGGCTTGACTTGGTCCAGGGAAAACAAAGCCCTAGAGTCTTGCTGATGCACCTAAAGGGATGACACTTACTTTATAGGGGCCACTGGGTTCCCTTGGCGGGCTCTTCTCTGCTCAGGGGTCATGTAATCCCATTTGAACACCAAATTCCAGTCAAAACCTGCCGTGACAGAAAAGAATCTCAGGGCAGTGACACCCGGAGACTGGTCATGTGAATTCCCTTACAGCTTTAGAAACACTTGATATTTGCACAAGAATCACTGAAAAAGAAAACAAAAGGGAGGGAGGTCCGGCTGGAAGAAAGTGAGACCAGGGCATAGGGCTAAGGGCATAGAGATCAGAAGGGGGGAGGGAGGAGAGCGTATTTATACCTTTTTTTCCCCAAAGGGGGGGGGGGACGGACACTGTGGGTCAGAGTTCTCTAAAACAATGCACAAGAATCCGAGCAAACGAAAAGGAGAACTGGGATCTGTGTGCGGACAGTGACATACCCAAGGCTGGAAGGAGAGGCTGGAGAAAGAAAGGGGTGACCAAGAGGAAGACCTGCCTGGGTGACTCGCGTAAGTTACCCGAGGACAAGGCTAAAGAGGGCACAGCAAGAGTACGATTGGTTCTGGGGCCTGCAAACTTCCATCTCTTAACTGGTGGGAGGGAGTGTAAAAGAAGCTGCAAATGGGGACACAATTGACCTTCCACCTCTGGGCAATTAGGCAGCTGCCCCATTCCATTCTAGAATCCACAGGCCACTCTGGACAGGAGAGGATGTGCCTCGTACTGGGACTGGGCTGCTGGCATGTGCACAACCCTGGCATCAAGCATCCTGGGCACACAGATGTCCATGCTTCGCTCATGAAGGGATCTGTGTCATGTGCTCCAGACAGGTCAGCAAACGAGCTCTGGCAAATCCTGCAGCGTGTGGTCCTGCCTTTCCAAAGGCATGCAAGGCAAGCTCAGCCTCATCTAGTTTGGCTCTGTGCCTCCTGGGCTCTCTGCCTCTGATTTTTTGTCCAAGGGTTTTTTTTTTGTTTTTTTTTTGCAAAGCCTGGGTCTGGAGTTTGCATCTGCAAGTTACGAATCCAGGGCGCCATCTGCTGGGCTACCCCGGTGCACAGAGC